GACTCAAACTAGTAGATGCCCTGGGAAGGCAATCAACATTAGGGCTAATAAAAAGCTTGAATAGTATAAAAGGGCTGGAGGAGGTATTGTAGAACCTTTCTAGCACTTATGAGAGGTAAATTAACACCAATTGCTAAACATAGAAACTGGATAAATTTCAATATTCATTTAGAAATTAATTTTATGATGCTGTCCTAAGTATTAAAATACAGGTTATACTTAAATCATTCAAAGTTTGGCATGTTCACACATGTGCACAAAGTATTTGATAGATATTTACACACTGGGAGACACAATTATGGTCTGACTTTGGAGTTTTGGCAGATCTGGGTTCAAATTCTGGCAAGTTTCCCTACTAGCTTTTTTTGGGTGCGTGTGATCCGAACCCTCGGGCGGGAGCGCCGCCGCGCTTCCCAAGCGGCGCACTATCCAGTGCGCCACCGGGCCGGCCCTCTACTCACGTTTAATCGGCCGAAGCAAGTCAGGAGGATACACTTAACGTTCAAGAGGGTCGTGAAGCTTTCCCAAGGGAAAGAATCAGAAATCTGTGGTGACTATCACGGATGATTTTTGCAGGGGTTATCAGATGTGACTTCTAATGAATAGGCATCAGACAGGCCGAGAGGGTTGGGGTCGGGGGTGGGGTGGGGTGGGAAGCAGGAGGCAAAAGGAACAGCAGGTGCGAAAATGTGAAAATATAAAAGAGAACATGGCGCTTTTGGATAATTTATAAATTTATGTAACATTGATCTGTTCCAAGTGCTCTAGAAATATTGACTTAATTCTCATATCAATCCTGTGAAGGAATGTTATAACACCAAGGTCAAGGGTTTGGATCCCTGTATCAGCCAGCAGCCAAAAATAAAAAAAAAGTATCCCTGAGAGGGAGGGTTCATTTATCAGAGGACACACTGAGCACAGGAGGCCAATGTCTACCGGTGGCAGAGCCAGGATCTGTACCCAGGCAGCCCTATCCAAAGCCGATGTTCCTGAGCACCATGTGGTGCTGCTCCCTAGGGAATTCAGAAAGGCTGAACCTAGTGCTCCAGGGCAGAGGGGAGAGGGCACAAGCCAAAAGATACATGTGGAAAGGAAGAGGGGGTCAGATTATGAAGATAAGTTGGAGGAGGTAGTCTTTTTCCTGCGGCCTCAGAAATTAAATTAAATTTAAAAATGTATTTAAGCAGGGAAGTGACGCTGTCGATTGATTGAATTGTATCCCCCAAGTTTTATTTATTGGAAACTTAATCCCCACTCTAACTGTTGAGGGTGGCAAATCCTATTATGGTAATTGAAAGGTGAGGTCTTGAAGAGGTGATTAAATTGTAGGACCATGCCCTAGTGAATGGATTAAACATGGTGGTCAAGAGCATGGTTCTGAGGGCTTTAAAAGAAGAGAGAGGAGGTTCTCTCTGCTCACTCTGCTTCCACCATCTTGCAATGTGAGACCCCCGTATCACTGTCGCCACCACCAGATGGACTTTGTACTTCCCAGCCTCAGAAACTGTGAACAATAAATTTCATTTTCTGTATAAATCACTCAGTTTCAGGTATTTTGTTATAAGCAACAGAAACGGACTAATACAAGTGACATGAGCAAATTTGTAGATTAGAAACATCACTGGGTAAATTTCAGTTCCTCACCTCTCCCCCACTATCCATTTGAACTCCCTAAGGCCCTCTTTTTTGGTGTGGCCCATTTGTTCCACCTGTTCTACAGCTGAAGGATAAGGAATGTGCAATTTCTATACAAAGTCCAGGTGTTCTCATAAGCCTTTCTTAAGCTGGCTTTAAAGGCGGATCCATGTACATAAGTATCAGTGTCCCCTACCCCACCCATTACATCAGTGAAACAACTCGACATTTAATTTCCCTTTAATCACATAAGCTATTTCCTTCTGAACAGGATATGCCTAAACCCAGTTGCTCAGTATTCAATGATGAATACAAATAAGTTTCCCTAATACTTTTGGGGAACTGCTCCACCGAATTGAACGCACCTATCACAAGTTTTTAAATAAAGCTTTACTGATGTGACTTGCATAAACCCATCACTAGTATACCAATTTCTCAAAATTTGTGTGCCTCTGTGTCTATGGGATGAGAGGGCGACTCTCTCTCCACCTGTCCCTGCCTCGAAGGCAGCGATTGTGACAGCATTCTTCTCTTGGCCTATGTTAGAATGACAGTTAGGGGCTGATTGGGATCTGGGGAACCACCTCTCAGGGGAAAGGATCTGTTCCTCTGTGTGGCCTTCCTGCTTTCTGGGACAGTAAGGTCATTGGTTTTGGGTAACTGTTAAGCGGATTTTCACTAACAAACACAATAACTAGAAAACATCACGTGATTTGTCTATAGTTTGTTCATCTGGAATTCATGTGAAATGCATTTCATCTGCAGACCTGCACTTTTAAAATTTCTCCCTTGCAATTGCTCATCCCCTACCATGTAGTGCTCTCCTATTATCTGTCTTTCCCAGGATTCTTCCTCAGAGCACTGCAGGAACAATTTTCTGTTTTTCTGCCTTCTTCTGTGTGGTAAACAGACACTGACATGTGCCCCTGATCCTCCCTCCTGGTATTACGCCCTGTGTAAGCCCCCTGAGTGTGGGCCGGACCTGTGACTTGCTTCTAACAGAATATGAAAAGCCTGAAATGATGGGAGGTCATTGCTGTGATTACATTATGTAGGACTCTAGTGTCCCTCTTTCCAGAAGACTCCCTCATTGGTTTGATGAAACAAGTGGCAATGTTGCAGGAACTGAAAGTGACCTCCTGCTGACAGCCAGTCAGAAACCGACGCCCTCTGGCCAACAGGGCACATGGGACCGAATTCTATCAACAGTCACATGAACTTGGAAGCAGATCCTTCTCCACTTGAGCCCTGAGATGGGTCATAGCCCTGGCTGACACACTGATGCAGCTTTCAGATGAGACCCTGAGCAGAGGACCCAGTAAAGCTGAGCCCAGAAACTGTGAGATAATGTGTGTTGTTTCAGGCACACATTTAGGCACACATTTGTGGTAATTTTGTTGCACAGCAAAATATAATACATTCCCTTTTTGATTTCTGGTCGTATCACCTGTCTACTTCCAGAGGCATCTCAATCCCTCTAACCCCCCTTATAGCCACAAAGCCCTTCCTTAGGGCACACCACTCCCTAACACTATGGAAATTCATGTCAAGAGTTACCAGATTGAAGAGAAACTCCTCAGCTTTTATACCTCTTCTGGCCAAAGACTCCCTATGCCCAAGATATTGGTCTAGACACCTAACTACTGCTCACCGGGTTGGCAAAAGGTGACAGTTAAACTGCCTGTTTAGCATCTTGTGTCTGTACTATCCCTCCTGAGGAAGCCCTCCTGACATCACCAGGTCTCCCAGCCACTGGGGCCCTCTGTCTTTCACCAGAGAGATTTTTGGCTTCCGTCCTTAGGGAACAGTAATTTGGCCCACAGCTTCCTCTCTTAGGATGGAGACTACTCAGAGGCTTTGCTCTGTGCGTGGAGAGTGGTGCCAATTCAATCTCCACAGGGGTCTGTTCCCCTTAAGTTTGCTTTCTTTTCTTAAAATATGTTTATTACACAAGTAATGCAGATATACACAAATATATTCTCTTAGTTATAAAAGAAAACCTTAGCCTTATCTCAGAAGTCAGTTTAACTTTCACCCTGGAGTCTGGGCCTTCCTCCCATTTGCCTGAAGTAAGCCTTGTTAGCAGTTTGCATCCTCCAGACTCTTTCCTATGCCTTCACAGACATAAACATATCTGTAGAAAATATTTACCTCATGGTTTTCCTTTTTAAATCATAACATATATCACACTGTACATACTAATCTGCAAACTAATTTTAAAATCCAACAACGTGTCCTGGGGATCTTTCCGTTAGTTTATACAGTTGTCTCATTCTTTAACTGCCATGTGGTATTCTACAGTAGAGATGGGCATTTACATGGTTTCCACTTATTTGTTATGATAAACAATGCCACAATGAACATCTTAGTTTATGCCTCTTTGAGTATAGAGGTGAATTTTTATAGAATTATTGGGTCATAGGATACAATTTGAATTTTAAAAGATATCGACAAATTGTCCTCCAATATAGCTATAAATAGCTATACCAATTTTGAAGTTCACCAGCAGGAAAAGCATGTCACTTCCCCAAGCCCTGACAACACTTGAGAAATGTCTTAATTTTTGTTCATCTCACAGTTGGAAAAATTGTCTCTCATTGTAGTTTGCAGTTTTTTGGCTTAAAAACATCTTTTAAACATTTTTGGGGTCATCAATATTTCTATTTTTTAAGTTGTTTGTTCCTAGATTTTTGTCCATTTAACAAAAACTCAGTTGATTTATCTTTATACTGGTCCTTTTCTTCTCATTTGTCATTTAAGTTTTCTTTTTTGTGCCTATCATGGAAAGTTTTAGAATTTGAACTGCTCAATTGGTAAATATTTCCTTTTATGATTTTTATTTTTATGTCTTAAAGAAACCTTTCCTACCCTACTATCACAAATGCTCTTACATTTTCATCAATATTTCAATAGCTTTGTGTATAATGTTGGGACTTAAACTTCCAGATAAACTAATTTTAGTGAATAGTGCGAGATAGGGTTCTATTATTTTTAACTAGTAAGCAATTGTCCCAACTCTACTGGCTGGCCCACCAGTTTGAAATACAACTTTTATCACACTAAATTTCCATATATACACAGGACTGTTTCTGAACTTCAGTTAAGTCCATCAGTACCACACAGTTTTACTTGATACCTTTACCAGGTCTTCAAAGGGGCTCCAGTCCCATTTAAAACATCTGCTCTCTCCAACTGTGTGATCTCCCCATTTCTAGTACCCACTCTCAAGACTTGAGCATGAACCTCTAGCTCCTTAAACTCCACTGGGGAGTAGAGGGATGTCAATGTTGCAGTGACTTCTTGATAATTCTCCACACATCCTTATTCGCCTTTGGCATTTACGCCCGAAAGTAATCTGGCTGGACACCAGTGCCTAAGTGCAATTTATTGAAAAGAGAAGAGAAGATAGAGTACAGGCCCTCTAGAGACAAGATGGAGCTAAACAAGCAGTGCAAATCTGCCTCCTGCTCAGCATACAGTCTTCTTGTTGCCCCACTGGGCCATCTTGTTGTTGATGGGCATCTTGAAGAAGCGGTCAGATTGCATGTAGGCAGCTATTTTCTCCAAAGCCTGAAATGAAAGCACACCAAATCTTATAAAGACCCTCTGTAGTGCTCTGACCCAGTGCAACAGACCCATACCAAAACAGCAGCATTCACATGCTGCCTGCCTCTACCTCCCCCCATTTTCTATAGATAGTGCCTTTAGGGTGAAGGAGCCAGGCCCTTCCAAGACTTAAAGGGCTAGAGGTATCCAACCATTGTCCTGTTAGGCCAAAGCTAATGCTGGGCAAGAATCTACTGTATGGGGGTCCCTTGGGGCCCAAGGGAACCTCTGAGTGTTTCTGTAAGAGAAAGGTGCAGGGACCATCACCTCAAAACGGCACATGAAAGCCTTCAGATTTGGGAACTCATCCAGGCACTTGGGCTCAAACATACGGTTCTGATCTAAGACATCATAGGTGAGAAAATCCACAAAGGTGATCTAGAAGAAAGACAGTAAGAGTGTCAGGTCTGAGGAGTTCATTTACACCTCCAGAGATAGAGAATATGCTCTACTTTTCCCTTCTTCCTACCTTTTCCCCTGCAAACCATGAGTATTTCCCCAGGAACAAGGAGAATTGCTTCAGTTGTCCAGGTAGTTGTTCCAAGTACTGAGGCTTCAGTTTTTCCTGGGAGAGAGGGTAGAAGAGAGCAAGAATAGCTGTCATTTTCACTGCTAACCAGGTCACAGGCCAGCAATGGACACTTACTTAGCAGCCCCTTCTCCAGGTACCTTCCTCTCACTGCCTTCACTTGGTGGTGGCAGGAGAGAAAAAGGGGTTTTGAAAGGAGGGACCAGCACCAGAGTTACATGACAAAATAAACCAAAAAATAAGAGTTCTGTTTCCTATTCTGACAGATTGGGTTGGTGGGAAGGTAGCAGCAGCAGAATAGAAGAGAAATAACCCTTAGGTCCTTAAATGCTCCTTTTCTTGATATGCCATTCCGCTGATGCATGCTGAGGAAACTCACATGGTCAGAGTTGTAACAAAGCCGTGTCAGCTGCATGCGGAAATCCATTACTTGGTTCTCCATGATGTCCACTCGAATCTTTTCTTCTTCAGTATCACCACCTGTGGGCCAAATGATAACGAATCACCTTTAGGATCATCCACTCCCAGGCGAACCAGCCTGGTCTCTCTCACCAGCCCCATCCCCACTCACACATGTTGTGCTTGCGAGCAATGTAGCGCAGGATGGCATTGCTCTGGGTGATCTTGTTCTTCCCATCCATGAGGTAGGGCAGCTGGAAGGAAAAGGACAGACAAAATGGACAACCTAGCTTTCTCTTGCTTCCCTCTCTCTCTCCAAGGGAAGAGGAGACTTGCAGGGCAATGAACACGAGAGAGAAGACTCTGTGTTAGGAGAAAGAAGAAAATAAGAAAGTAGCAGTTGGGTCCCCACCTGATTCTACACAGGGGTTGTTAAATCTGTATGTATGCCATGGACCCTTTCTCAGAACAAGGTTTTTGTCAGCACCACGCTCAGTCAGTGAGTGAACCGGCCATCCCTATATAGGATCCGAACCCGTGGCCTTGGTGTTATCAGCACCGCACTTTCCCAAGTGAGCCACGGGCCAGCCCTAGAACAAGGTTTTTGAACACATAAAGCAAATTACGTATACCAGGGTATTCCAAAAATTAGTGGGAAAATAGAATTAAAAGATAATAAAAATCTTTCCATGAACTTTTTGAAGTACCCTCGTATTTACAGTTATAAAATTTTTTAAAACAAAATTGTAATAGTGTAATATGTGACTATTAATGCATTAAATAGCAAGCAGACATAATAGCTACCATAATTTCAAAGTAGTGATGAATATAAACAACATCTAAGATATCTGTAACACATGTAATAGAATATGAAAATATCTGATTTCCACTTAGTGACAAAGGTCACAGACTTGGCTAATAATTAAGGTTTCTTATTGCCTATATTCGCAATAGAAGGAAATGGTAACTTTTGATAGTGGTTAGCAGAAATGAAAATGTAATTTTTTTTCTCCATCCAGTTCCAGGACCTCTGAATTCTATTCTATCCAGGTTAAGGGCCCCTATTCTAGATCCTGTCGGACGGGGGAGGGAAGAAGAACGGATATACGTGAAGGTCTTTCCTTCTGCCCCCTCTGCTCCTAAAGCCACCTACATTAGGAAAGTCCAGGTCTAGCTTGAATTTCACATCCAGCCATTGGCTTCGATCATAGTCAGGAGCTGCAAGACAGAGAATGAAATGGGACCCGGCTATATCTAAAGAAATGACTTAGTCCCAATACCTGAAATTCCCACACCCCAAAACCTTAACCATTTCGTCTCTGGAGCCTATTTGGTTAAGCATTGACAAAAGGGTTGGGGCTATGGCAGAAGGAGAATCTCCAGCTCCAGGTAAAGGATGCGTTTCTCCCCGCACAGGACACAGCAGAGAGCTCTCGGGTGATTTGAGCAGACTTCCCGCCCGACCTTGGCGTGATGCCACCCCCTGGGCACAAGAAGACAGGGGCAGTAGGAGGGCCAGCTTGGCTTTGCGCGGCGGCACACGGGCACCCACAGCAGCATTACCTTCCCCGCACGTGTACCGCTTCTCCTCATAGCATGTGTCCGTGAACTCCAAGAGCAGGCGGATGGCGTGCGCCAACTGAAGGAGAGAACCCGCGGTCGGCGCCTGCGCGGCTCTCACGGGCCCCCAGCCCCCGCCCACCAACGTCCCCGGCCCAGGGCTGCCGAGACCCAGCATCCTGCCGGGCGAACGTTAAGAGGCCCCCAAGCCCGGCCCCGGCATCATGCTGTCCTCGGTCCCTCCCCGCGGGGCCCGGTGATCCTCGAGGCGGGACAGGGGACAGCCTCCGTGGCCGGGCAGCTCGACTAGGGTTGGCCGCGCCGCCCCGCAGCGAAGAGGCTCCCGCATAGAGCCGCTTCTCATGGAGGCTGCTGCTGACCAGAGCCACGACCGCCTCCGCGTCCGTCCCCCCGAAGAGTGGCTCGACCGTTGAGACGGCACTCACCCCGCGAATATCCCAGTAACCCAGAACCACAGACGACTTGTTCGACATAGCGAAAAATCCTTGCGAGCCTTGGAGGACAGGACACGGGCCACGACCGAACGAAGCTTTATAGCCGACGCAAGTGGGCGGGGCCAACGTGAGCGCCGTGACTCCGCCCCGCTCCGTCCTCTTCCCCTCCCCCCGCGCGCCCACAGGGCAACACGCAGGCGCGACTTCTGCCCGCCCTGGGGTTCGGGGCCAGGAGTCCCCCACCCGAATGCCCGGCAGGAGCGCGGCAGATGGGGGAGTGGACCCGAGGTTGAGGCTCCGCGCTGCACTGCGGATGGGAGCGGCAGTTCATTTATTAATAGTGCCAGCCAGGGCGGGAAGAGCGCCAACAGCCAGGCCGTAGGCACCCTAGTTACCCAGGGAGCGTGAGATTCACACCGTATTCACCCAGCTGGGGGTGGAGTAGGGGGTGGGAGGGTTGGGGCAAGCCCCGGAAGTCGGACCGGACTCTGATCACCAAGGAATCGCGATCTTTCGGGGGTGGGAGAAGGAGGGGATAATGATAAAAAACCCATAAAATACTTAAGCCGGTAAACCTGTAAGGTAGGAAGCGATTCAGGGTGAGAGACGTCGCCTACAATACTTGGGAGGGAGAGATCTCTTCTGGCCAGGACAGAGGGTGGTTCTGAGAAGGCTTCAAGGAAGAGGGGGGCATTTGAGCTAAGCCACTGGGGAAGGGTAGGCTGTGGACATTAGGATGCAGGAAAGGGCACGGCAGGCTGGGGAAATGCCCCGCAGACACTGGGAGGTGGGAAATACTCGTACAAGTGTAAGTAGAAGGAACAGCAAGCGTCGTTGGTTGGTTTTCAAAGTTGTGAGGGGCGCAGGGAAAAATACAGTTGGAAAAGACTGTTGGGGTCAGGTTGCAGAGGGCCTTGACTGGGAGGGGGGGTTGGATATTTTTCTTCTGTTCTGTGGGGAATCTCTAGATCACCGCTGACCAATAGAAATATAATGCAAGCCACATAGGTGATTTAAAATTTTGTTTCTAGTACAAAAAAAAGCAGGTGAATTAATTTTAATAATGCATTTTATTTAGCTTAATACATCAAAAAATACTATAGTTTCAGCATGTAATTAATATAAAACTTATTGAGATATTTTACTTTGTTTTTGTACTGTCTTCAAAACACAGTGTGTATTTTACACTTAGAACACATCTCAGTTCAGACTAGCCACATCTCGCTTGTTCAATAGCAACATGTAGCTCGTGACTACTGTGTCAGTGCAGATTTGGATGGTTTGCTAAGTTGAGTGATACTGTCAGATTCCCTTTCAGGGAAATTAACTTAGCTAAATCTTTGTGTAGAGTGGGCTGGAGGAGGGAAGCTACTGCTATTTTTCATTCACTTATTCATTCATCCAACAATGTTTATTAAATGCCTAGTATGGGCAGACACTGTTTTAAGTGCTGGGGATACAGAACTGAACTTGATAAAATCTTGGCCCTTAGGAAGCTTACATTTTATGGGGAGAGGCAGAAATAAATGAATATATAGTAAATACAAGAGTCCTTTAAAAAGTTCATGGAAAAATTTGTATTATCTTTTTTTTTTTTTTTTCCTTTTTTGTCTTTTTTGCTGACCGGCAACGGTATCGCAACCCTCTGTGTTGCGCCCGCACTGCGCTCAGCCAGTGAGAGGGAACTGGTCTCCACATGGGATCCGAACCCTCGGCGGGAGCGCCGTCGCGCTCCCAACGGTGCACTCTCCAGTGCGCCACCGGGCTGGCCCTGTATTATCTTTTAATTCCATTTTTCCATGAACTTTTTGAAGTACTCTTGTACATAGTAAGTCAGATGGTGAAACACATCCTATGGAGAAAAATAAAACAGAGATGGGGGTGTCGGGGTGAAAGTTGGGGGAGCCCCAGCAGGAAGGGGATTTGTGTTTTTAAAGAATGTGTTCATGAAAGGCCTCACTGAGAAGTTAACCCTTAAGTAAAGACCTGAAGTCACTCTGCTGTGGGGGCAGAAGGCAGGGAAGAAGTCCAGGTAGAGGTCGGTGATATGACAAACAACCAGCAAAGGAGTCTGGAAAGGAGCAGCCAATGAGATAGAAGGAAAACCAAGGGTCCTGAAAACTAAGTGTAGCTGTTTGCAGAAGGGAGTGAGTAACTACATCTAATGTGGCTGATGGGTTGAGTGAGGTGAAGACTGAGAATTAATGGTTAAATTTAGCAACATGGGGGTCACAGTGACCTTGACAGAGCAAGTGATCTGAAGGAGGCCCCTGCAGTCCTGGGAAGAACTAAGCTTCTGGGTTTAAGCAGGGCCCAGGAAAATGAAAAAGGGGCACAGATTGGCAAGTGTCAATATGGGAGATATAGGGTTTGTCAGTTCACTGTGGAGGAGTGGGAAAGGGAGGAGGAGTCCAGAGCTACTCCAGTCCCCTACTCCCCAAGCCTGAGTGTGGAGGATCACATCTGCCCATTAGTTCTGCTGAAGCCAGTTTGGGACTTTTTAATAGGACATTTCACTGAAAAGAAGAAAGGGAAAAAGTGTAAACACATAGGGACAAATGAACTTACAATGCCTGGGTTTCTCCTCCCAAGATAAAAGTCCAGTTATAAATTAATTTAAGGTGTAAGACTAGTATTTACTGAGCACCTATGATATGCCAGGCAATAGTCTAGGTGTTTCATATATGTTTGCTAATTTATTCCAATTTAAGCTTCACAACAACTTTCTAAGGTGGGTATTATGCCCATTTTATAGAAGAAGAAACTGAGGCCTGGAGAGGTTAGGTGAATTGCTTTTCTAAGCTCAAGGTCCCACAGATAGTCTGGGATTCAAAGCTAGATCTGTCTAATAACACAATTTATGCTAGTTCCATTGCACTTGGATATCTGGACAGCCCCTACCTTACCTCAGTCTTTTTGAGAAATCTGGGGAACGTGGGGCTAAAAGACTTTTTTCCTGGTCTTGAACGATTCCCCTGCTTCTAGGCTCCTTCAGCTTTCTGAAGCTCCAGAAGGCAGTGGGTTCATTTCTCTCCCACCCATCTCAAGAAATTAACTTTTCTGGTTTACTTTTGCCCTTGGCGAGTCAGACCTTAAGGGTCTCACCTTTTTTCTCTTTTGTGAGGGAGAATTTGGTTTTCCTATTATTCTGTGTCACCAGGAATGAGAGATGACTTTTTGAGGGCAGGAACTTGAGGGAATAAGATAGGCAGTCTAAAAACAGGGCAGTGTGGGTCCCAGACAATGTTAGGGTTATGGGCAAATTTAGCTGAGATAGACTTAAGGGAACATCTCAAGATTCCTTGAGTCTGTAGGGACATCAAGACATCTGTAGACTCAGTAAAACTACAGCTACTGTTATGTGGAGAGGGGAGTTCTTGATGGTTTTGATTAAAGAAGGCTACTTATACTAAAAAATATAAGAAGCCACAGACAGTCCAAACTCTTCACTTAACCTTTGAGAAAACAGGGACCCGGGAAGTAGAATGACTTGCTAGAGTTCACACAGCCAGTTGGTAGACTTTCAGCTTCCAGTCCAATGTTCCTTATGCTCTGCCACTAAAATAGACAAGCTGGGAGGAAACTCAAGATTGGCTCACCCAACAGTGGGGGACAAAAGTTGTATTAAAAGAGGACTTAGCAAGTAGAGCCTGGTGTGCCTGACATGGTTGTTAGTGCTCCTTGGGATCATCAACCAGTGTGACTGATCAAAACCTGCAACTTTCAGCCCTGGTGCTCTTTGCTGCTGTGAAGTGTCATGCCTTCAGCTATGCTGGGTGTCTTGGAATATACTGGGTGAAATGTGTGCAGAAGGATAAGGATGGTGAGCATAGCCTTATTTTGGAGTTTATTTTTTTAGCAAGAGAGTAAGGCGAGCCTGGACCCTAATTCTCAAATTCTGATTCCCAGCTCCAGATGGCTGTGTGAATTCCCTCTCACATTGAGACGACCTGGCTCAGTGATGGATTAGGATTGCTGCTGTTTTATGGCCAGTGTCCCAGCCCTTCCTGCCTCTCTGCCTTTGGCCCCCATCAGAGCCAGACAAAGTTGTGATGGAGGCAAATGACAAGTTTGAAGATGCTTTTATTGGGAAGGAGAAGGACTGAACACACTCCTGAAATCTAGACATGAGTGTGCCAGGCTTAGGAAAGAGATAAAATAAGTAGGCAGTAACTGGGGAGGGCTCCCAGCACAGCCAGAGGGGTCCCATTTACTTCAACCTCTGGGGGGCTCATCCTTTCTGCTGTGTGAGCTAGGGTGCAGGGTGTGCTTCAAACTGGGGACCTGGATGAGAAATTCTCTAAAGGATGTCAGATCCATCCTCTTGCATGTGAGAAGGTCTTTGTATTGGAGGTCTCTGAGCCGAGGCCTAAGGTCTTATCTGAGGAGAGAAAAAGATTCAGATGGACTGTCGGAGCTCATGCCACGAATAGCTTGGAGTCTCAAGGCACGCCTGAATGCATGAAGCCAAGCCCCTGGAGGAATCCTGCGCCAGTACCTGCCACACTTACTTCCACCCCAGGCTGGGCTATTGACCTGTCCACCCGGCACTCTCACTCTTGCTCAGGGAAGACCAGACACTCCCAGTGGGAGTCAGGACCCCAGGGTATCCTCACCCCCAGCGTCCTTCTGACAGCCTCCAGGCGTGCCAGGACCCGTGCGGCGTCCTGTGGACACAGCATCTGCAGCTCTCCAGGTCTCATGCGAAGCAGCTGGCTCCCCGTTAGGGACCCGAGTGTCTTCACTGTGCTGTGAACAAAAATAGCAGAAGCCATCAGTGGTGGGGTGAAAGGACCCTGGGTCTGAGTATTGGGTAGAGAAAGGGCTGTTTGAGCTTGGAGGTTGGGGTTACAGGAAAATTCATGGAATAAAGTATCTGAAAGTAAGGGAGCAAAATAAACATTTTGGCTTAAACCAATCTCAGAACTCCCAGGTTTGAAGGGAGAAGTGGTCTGGAAGAGACTCTTCTGTGGGGAGGGGTGGCTGAGTTGGCAGTCGGGGCTTTCTACGAGTCCACTCCCCCAATCCTTGCTGCCTTCACCACGGCAGGGGCGCCCCACTTAATGCTTCAACCTGGGCTTAGACAAGCCCCCTGCTCTCCT